GGGGGGGGTAAAGACAATCATAGAAAACCTGGAGGTCAAACGAACGAGAAAATGTCCTGATGCTGAATCAGAGACTGGGTTTCAGACGGTGATAGCCTTGAAGACAGACAGATCTCCCCAAAAAGCTCAAAAGCAGATTTAGTCTATCATTTGTGTTATTTTGTGTGTTCGTGCAACGATTTTTAATGTCTTTTATTCCCTAAAACGACTCAGCCTGATTGCTTTTCCCTGATAAAGACTAAGAAGCGAGGTGCTATCAACAACGTAAGCTGTTCTGGGTTCAAAACAAATCTGCAATGCAAAGTGAAGCGCTTTTGTGTGCCAAGACTGCAGTTGCTCTTGAGATTTGCTTGTCTTGTAAAAGCAAAAAAAGTCCTTCCTCTTGGTCAAATCTCACCTAATTATTTTTACTGGATTGCAGATGCAATGTACCCCGCTGCTGTTTCCTTGACTCTGCTGCTGAGCTTTTACAAATGGGATCTAAGCTGTTTGTTAAATCGCAGAGCAAAAACAGAACCTAAGACACAAGAACCTTGTTGAGAGTTGAGTACAGTGAGCTGATACTTTGTAGTGGCTTGTTCATTCATTATGACACAGCTTATTCCGCTCAGGCTGAATTATAAATGTTTGATTGGAGCAACATGTGAGGAGTATAGAAGTAGCAGCGTGACCTACAGCCCCACATGTAAAAAAACCTCTTGACAGATAGTAGGCTATTATTTGGATTATCAGCATCAGTTAGCAGCATCAGAGCGATCACTCAAGCTATAAAGCGTTGACTTTTTGACCTGCTTGCTGCCGGCAGATATGGGTCGCATTAAGAGCTTAGAAACAGTGGCGGTCGGTGCATAGGAGCAGGTGGAGCCCCACCTAAAAAAAATTCAGCCCCACAAAGTAGTTCCTCCTAATAAATAACGTAAATGACTGATTTACTGCACTTACCGTATATTGTTTTGTTCTGTGTATTTTTCAACTATTTTGACAGTTTTAAGGGGAGTTTAAAATAATTGTTAGTGATTCATCCGCAGTTTTTTACTTATTTATAGGGTAGTACCGTTCAATGACCCGCTTTCGTCAAGCGGATCCAAACATGCGGCCAGTGATCCGAACAGGCAGGTCCAATAGTTTCATTCAGTGCATCATATTTTATGCCCTGTGGATGCATTTGGCTGGTTTTAGTGCATTGATACAACCTCTACCCAGACGTAACGTGAGCTCCAACCCAGGAACAGCAGCAGTGAAACCTGCTGAGACAAACAGTGGAGATATTCTGTTTTTGAATCCGTTTTGGAGAACAGAAAACTGAGAAGAACAGAGGAAAGTCAAAGTACAGGAAATGTTTGCCAACATGATAAAACCTCATTTAAACAATTCAGTGACTCCTGTGTATGTGGCTGTGGTGGGTCAATGGTTGTAGTGATAGTTTTATAACTGGGTGTTTGGGGGTTCTAGCCCCGTTTGAATCTTCAATTTAATTTGGTGATTATATATTTTATCACCTTTTTTCCATTTTATATTATTTTAGAGTCACTTCACTGAACTTTTAGCTGAAGCATCCCCACCTGCCTCCATCTTCATTTGCCCCACTCTGGGCCTTTGAGCAAGGCCCTTAACCTCCACCATCTGCTCCTCCAAGCTCCCTAGATGGCAGCTCTCTGCTCCACACAGAGGGCTGTGGTAGCTCTGTGGTTGCGTCAGGAAGGGCATCCGGCGTAAAAATAATTGCCAAGTCGACTTAGTTCGCTGTGGCGACCCCTGAAGAAGAGAGCAGACAAAAGAAGAAGCAACATATATCTGCTTGTTTAATTTTTCACATAAAATGTTAAACAATTTGTAATTTTTTTTCTGGAAATTAATGTCCGCCCCACTAATATTTTTGCTCAGAGGCTGCCACTGCTTGGAGATTTAAGAGGGGGTGGCAAGAAGGATGTGAGAGAACGGTTCAAAGTAAGTCAAGTGGTGGCAAAAACATTGCTGTGTGACCTGAGGAAGAGATGAGCAGCTCTAAAATTGGATGATCAGACTGGACTGAAGGAAGAAAAGGGCACACAGGAGAAGGAGGGTAAAAGAAAGACAGATCAGAGTGCTAACAGGGAGAGAAAGAGTGTAACAGCAGCAAAGTAGCACCTCTGAGGTCTGAGTGTGGGATCGGCAGAGAGCTGAAACTAATTTCCACATTTTTAATTAATTGCTAACTCACGCTTGCTGTTTCCATCTTTTCTGAAAGAGTGCAGATACGTGCAAGCAGAAGTTCCAGTCTTTGACATGTGGGAATTATAGATGTGAAATCTGCACATTGTTTAGTACAGCGTGTCCTGAAGTGCTGAGACACAAACTGTACAGTGGGAGGCCATTAGCTGATTAACAAATCTGTGGACACTCAGGTGATGCGTATCATTTGGACCAACACAACCAGTTCCGTATCAGCATCAAAAATGTCTTCACGCAGCGAACGCTTTGATCTGCTCGTGCCTTTTGAACAGAAGTGAAATTGCTCTTCTGCCTGAAATTCATCTACAGATGTCTACATTTAATTTGCAAAAAAAGTGTTAACACCAGTAAAATGTCTCTGCTCCACTCAGCGGATTATGTAAATTATTCTGCTTTCAGTAATTAACAAGTTTCAAAGTTTGTTCTGTTAGCCACAGAGCTGTCAGAGAAGGCACATTTTACATCAAACTTGCACAGTGAGAGTTTTCTCAGATATGGTGGAGCTAATTAAATTTATTGTGCACTGAATTAGTTATGAGATTATGAGGGAATAAAAATCATTTTCATTAATTTCATTATGTCTAAAAATGAAATAATTAACAGAAAGGGAAGTTCAAAATGGAGAGGACAAATGAGAGTCACAGGACAGACCGACATAGCAGAAGTTTCATCCCTTGATGCTTTGGCACCTTGACCCCCTCCTTTCCTTTAATGAAAAATGAAACAATCAGATGAGACTGGTTAAGTATACTATTTTATTGATGATAAAAGAAAACCACCATCATCTTTGTTCCTGAATCGAATCTCATCCTTTTTTTTTTCTTCTAAATTATATATTTCATCATCATTATCTTGAGTTTAAATATCAAAGCTTTCACTCAGTGATTGCTCACAGTTCAAGAAATCTGTTGCCACAGAAACATTAAGATGCTACCACTTTACTATAAGGCTCCTCAATAAATAGTTTATAGATACATAATTAATTCTTCTATAAACACTTTATAAATCATTAATAATTATTTATTATGCATTAATTAAGGATGACAGATACAAAACTGACCGGTTTCTTGCCAAATGGTGAGCCAAATCTGTTCACCTATATATTTCATCTAGAGTTATATCAAACATTCATATTAGTTGTAGATACTTATAATGCAGTGATAAAGTACAATATTAATGCTAAATAAATAGGTTTAAACATGCTTATTGCGCTTACAAGATAGTAACTTAGTCTGAAATGTTTAATATAACAACTCTAGAGGAAATATAGAGGTGAACAGATCTGATTCACTATTTGGCAAGAAGCTGGTCAGTTTTGTCTCTCTGTCACCCTTAATGCATAACAAGCAGTTATTAATGATTTATAAAGTGTTTATAGAGGAATTAATAGCATATCTATAAGCTATTTTTTAGCCAGCTATAAGGGGAGCCTCTAACCAAAATGAGTAACTACCAAACACTGGTTCCTAAGGGCAAAACAATATGTTATTTTAGAGGTTGTAAATCAGTTACTTAAAGTCATATTTCAGATCTTTTGAAGTGGTTTAGTGGATAGATTATGAACAATTAAGATGGTAGCTTTTGTGAACAGACAGTCCGAGCGAGGCCAAATGTAGCTGCCATAAAAAGGGTGTTAAATTTTAACATCACCATAAATTGCACACTATACCATATTTTTTTCTGTAATATGATATTCCTGCAGGAACCAGGACACCTACAAATAGTTTTTAAAGTAGTAGTCATGGGCAAATGTAATTCTTGGAGTGACACACCAAAAACCATACCAGGATTCAATGAGCTTTATTATACTGGCTATATATAAAGACTTTTTGAAAAATACCGCAGTTCGGGATTTAGTGTGGAGTTAGTCATATTTTGCTATAGGCCATGTTTTGTTTTCTTTGAACTAGAGCTTGTCCTCTTCTTTCTTAATTTGATGTTAAAAATTGGCATTTAATTTTCTGAATTTTTGCATCCTGATAGGAGGACGTTCTTCCTTAAGTTTACTAATTGGCTTTTTTGTTCAATGTCCTGAGATAATTTCTGTTGTAACTTGGAACTTTATAAATAAACTGAATTGAATTGAATTAATTTTCTGCTTCATATCTTATTCCAGGG